TGGATTAACCAGCAGATTTGCCCCCGTGTGATAACGTCCATAGAAAGGGCTAAAATCATGGCAAAAACGCCTCCTATAACCCTAGAGGGAATTGGAGGACATGGTGTGTGTGTGTGTTGGAGATGTGGTAATGCAGCCGCTAGCTTCCCATGGTTGTCTAGCCCTGCTTTAGAAGAAGTTCACTGGAAGTTTAGAATGTTTATTTTATTTCATATCCCACCTTTCTCCCATTATGTGACCCAAGGCAGTTCACAAATGTTTATATTTTATTTGATTTTATGATATGTAATATATTTTATTTTATTAAAACATATACAGGTTGAATGTAGGTAAATACATCAACAGATTGTGTATCTGCCTGCCTCTGTCCCATTCAGATTTAAGGAAGGCCACCTAACAATTAGTTTTCATGCAGAATAGTAGAGCCAGTGTGGTATGGAGGTAGTAACTAGCCAAGATGGTATGACACATTGCCTTGGGAAATCCAGTTTCCTGTCCTCACTGACCCATGAAACTCATTGGTTGACTTTGCTCCAGTCACTCTCTCTCAGCCTGACCTTCCTCACAGGATTGTTGTGAGGATAAAGCAGGGAGTCAGAGAACTGGCTTGACCCCATTGAATGAAAGGCAGGATATGAGTGTAAAAGTAACTGCAGTAAGTTTTCCTTACAAAGGAGTATAATAAGCAGTTTTGTCACAGCACTAAAGGCAAGAGTGGGCAAAGTGTGGCATGTGGACTACAGCAGCATCTCTCTGCCCCTCATTTCAAGTCCCTGAAGATTTCCTGGTGAGCCCCAAAGGATGTTATCACACGGGATCTAAAGCAGTCCCATCCCTGCGCCATCCCTGCGCCATTGCGGTTTTTTCCCCCCGTGTTTCCACACGACGTCGCAGAGAAACCCCGCACATCCCTGCGCCATTGCGGATCCTTGTCCCATGTTTTTACATGACGTCGCAGAGAAACCCCATCTATCCCTGCGCCATCCCTGCGCCATTGCGGCATCATCCGGCGTCATCCCCGTTCTTTTGAATGCCGGTTTATTTGGGAATTACATTTGCTGATGCCGGAATGATGCTGCTTTCTATACCGGCATGGGAAAAGGAACCGCGGTGGCACGGGGATGGCGCAGGGATGGGACTGCTTTAGACCCCCGTGTGATAACATCCAAAGTCACTGTTGTTGATTATGTGTGCTTCAAGTTGTTGCCGACTTATCATGGAGTTTTCTAGGCAGGTTTCTTCAGAGGGGGTTTGCCATGGCCCTCCTCTGAGGCTGAGAGAGCATGACTTGCCAAGGGTCATCCAGTGGGTTTATATGGTCAAACCAGGATTTGAACCCTGGTCTCCCAGTGTCCTAGTCTAACACTCAAATCACTACTCCATGCTGGCTCTCATATCCCTCAACATTTCACAGGTGAAAATCAGGACACATATGGCTAAGTAACATCAGAGTGCAGAAAATACAAGCCAAGGGAGGTTGCAGCACTTTGTTTTTGTCTGAACCTACTAGGAAGGACAAAATTCTGCTGCCTCCTCTCCTCTTCCCCCCCCCATCCCCGCTGAGTTGTTGTTGTTGTTGTTGTTGTTGTGTGCCTTCAAGTCTTTCTTGACCTATGGCGACCCTAAAGCAAACCTATCACAGAGCTTTCTGGGGCTGAGAGTGTGTGACTCACCCAAGGTCACCCAGTGGGATTCCTGCCACGGGGAACTGGACCCTGATCTCCTGAGTTGTATTCAATGGTCAAACCACTATAACCACACTGGCTGTCCCTGCTGATCCAGAAAGAACTTGACTTTCCAGTCCTTTTAGTCTTGATTCTACCTGCATATTCATAGTTTTGCATCCAAATTCTTTCTTGAAATATCCCAGGTTTCCCTCACTCCCCTTGTGTTCTTTCCCCCTTCCCATGCACATACCATCCTTTCCAGAAATTGCCTTTCACCAATTTCCACTGAGACCTTTTTAATTATTATTCAGGAACTGTAGTCAAAAGGTTAACCTGCTTTAGCAATATTGCACCAGTTAAGCACTGGGATGCTTTCCTTTTGTTCCTAGCATTCCTCTTTCCCTTTCTTGGTCTCCACTGAATCTACTGTCCTGGGAAGAGTTGCTGTGTTTCTTGGCAGTGGCCCTATTAGCTAGCTCTAGGATAACAAGAAACACACTGCCGTAGGGAGGTACATTTCATTTCTGGAAATACTGGTTTAATTTAAACTGATCTGGAGAATGAGAATAAGAAGTCTTTGTAAGTGATGGGAGTTCCCTGGGAATACTTCAGAATGGGTAAAACATAGTATTTGTTGTGTGTCTTCAAATTATTTCCAATTTATGGTGACCGTAAGGCAGTTTCATCATGGTGGTTTCTTGGCAAGATTTGTTCAAATCTTTAAAAAAATTAAAAGGAAAAGAAAAGAAAAAAAAGGAAAGGACAGGACAAGACAAGACAGGAACCAAACAAAGGACTTTCTGGTTATTCCAGTCTATCTGAATGGGTTCTCAGTTGACAGCAGTTGAAATAAGCATAGAACAACAAGCATAGAACAACAGGGAGAATGGGAGAAGAAGGCAAAACCTTGGACATTTTAAAAGCAGCGGGGAAAAGTGGGATAGTAGAGGATTAATCACAACTGTCCCTGACAAATCAAGACAATTGGAGGGTATGCCAAAGCTTACAATACTTAAAAAAAAATTAAAATATTTATTGTCAATTTTGTGATGCTTTTTTTTTTTTTTTTGCCTGAAAATTACCAAAGTGGCAGCATGATATGGTCAATGACACTTCTGGCACACCAAAACATTATGGTGCATCACATTCCCTCTGCATTTTCCCACTCCCACCTTCAGGGATTCTGTAGCAGTCGTTCTAGTTGTACTAACCCTCCTCTGTCCAAATTCCCAATCTTATAAGGCTTCCCTCTTTTTAGAAAAATGGTCTACCCTGATCATTTCTTCAAAGAAGAAAAAAAAAAAAACTCAAATAAGAAAATTAATCAAGATACAGAAAACTAAACACAATTAGTAAAAAGGACGCAAAGGTGACTTCCTCCCAGACACCAACCTTTAGGAGTTTATCACACATGCCCCATTCTCACTATGATCATGCTAGTAGTAAAGGGAACTGGGTACATACTAGTTTGAAAACATTCTGTCTCACATCTCTGTAATAGTGCGAGAGGGTCCTTGTGCTTCCTTCCACACTCCTCCCTAACCCAGCCTTCCTGCCCCGTGCCCTATTCAGTGTGCCTTTGGAGATTTTAAATATATTTTATTTTTAACACAATTCTGGAGGTATGTAATATAATTTTAAATTTAAAAAAAACTTTTTAAAAAGGAAAACAGCCTGCTTGGGAATAGTGAGGGAGAGGAGGAGAGGAAAAGACACAAACACCATGTGATTGCCCAATACCAGAACTGGCATGTGAGAAATTTATCATATTTGAGGACTTAATGCTACAGCAGTGCATATGGGAGCTTACTGACAGGTTTTCCCTGTGAATGACAAGGTGCACTCTAACAGCACTTGGAGGACAAGGGAGCAGCTAGACAGAGACAGCATTGTGTGATATGAATCACCAAATGGGCTATTTTCCAACTTTGATGGCAGTGAAAAAGCCATGTGTGATAAAGTCCTATGTCTATAGACGTTATCACACGCGGGTCTCAAAGCGGCAAGAAAAGCGGTATGGAATCAATCCAGAACTATACCGGTATAGACCCCACAAGACGGAAATGGTTATCAGACGCAACTAGCATCATTGTGCAATGAACAAAAGCAGCATCATTCCGGTATCATTCTGGCCGCGCAAATGTAATTCCCCAGGAAACTGGCATTCAAAAGAACGGGGATGATGCCGCATTGGGACGGGGATGGGACGGGGTTCTCTGCGACGTCGTGTGAACACACGGGAAAAGGAACCGCAATGGGACGGGGATGGGATGGGGATGGGACGGGGTTCTGTGCGACATCATGTGAACACACTGAAAAAAAAACCGCAATGGGACAGGGATGGAACGGGGTTCTGTCTGCTTTAGACCCCGTGTGATAAGGTCCTTTGTTCATAAGCCTGGCCAGATAATCAGTTCCAAGGCAGCATGGGGACTAAAGGGAGCAATTTGTCCTAGACCAGGGGTAGGCAACCGAA